CAGCCCAGGTGGTGAGGAAAAGACTGCAAACAAAAGTGTGCGGAGGATGACAGGAGAAACGATGCACAGTAGGGGAAATTGGACTAACAATGTTAGGGACCTGTGTGTCACCACATCCAGTGACAAAGAGCACTGACGGAAATTAGGCTGGAAGACTCAAAAGTTGCTGTGGAGGAGGAGCTGCTTCCTGGGAATTCTGGTTCTAGGGCTCCAGCTGGCAAAAATTTAGCATAGCATCAGAGAAGGGGTCGGTAAATAAGGGGATATGAATAACATGGACAAGAAAGCCAGCCACAGGAGAGTGGGGTGAGCAAAAAAGACGTCAGCCCTCCCCCACTCAATGCGGTTAAAACCCGTGACTATTCATGGCCCTTGATAAACTAATTCTGAAATTTACAAGGGCAAGGCTTAGTGTAACTAAAATATTGTCGAAACAAACAAGACTTGCCCTGCGGATAATGGAGTTACTACAGAGTGATGGTGATTAAGATAGCATGATGTTGGCACACAGAAAGCAGAACACAGCAGACCCTGAAACAGATCGATGCCTACATGGGCAGATTTATGGAGGAAGTGGGGACTGTTCAATACACTGAACCAGAAAAAGTGGCCATCTAAGTGAGGTTATTATTAGAAAAGGGGAAGGGTAGGCACTAATATACTTTTTTCCATATGGATGATTACTTTTTAAAATATAAACTAAATTGGATTCTTAAAAATCACCCACAGATGAACTACGGACTTATACGTAAAACTCTACATTTTTTAGTGGAAACACAGGCAGTTGATCTGATCTTGATGTTTTCATCCATGTAAGATTTAAAAAAAAATACCAATCATAACATAAAACACCGATATATTTCAGAATCGCTATTATTCAAACGACTCTATACAATGTATAGCTTTTTTCAGGCTACGAGAAAGTATCTACAACAAGTACTAAGGAACCTTCTTGTTGAACACCTTCAACACATAGGAACCACCAAACTGAAAAATGTACCAAAGACACGTTTAGATAGTACACCGAGAAATACTTATGGCTAGTTAACATGTGCAAAGATACCTGAAATCGCTGTTACACAGGGGAATACAAATCAAGACCACATGAAATATAATTGTGTACTTGTTCAACCAGCAAACATCAAGAATATTAACGTGAGTGTTGAGGAAGATGATGTCCAACAGGATCTCTTAGAGTGTAAGTTGGCACAATCACTTTTATAGGGCCCCAGAGTTATCCAAAGTTAAATATTCACATGTCCTGTGACCCACCAATTCTGCTCCTGGAGAAAATCTACGCCGGAGTATGTAACGGTGAGTGTTCAAAGTATCAGAAAGGGCCGGGGATTTAGCTCAATGGTTCTGCCACCTGCCTTGCAAGCACAAGGACCCAAGTTCGATCTCCGGAACCAAAAAAAAAATTGCACAAAGTATCAAAAAACTGGAACCAACTCCAGTGCTCTGGAACAAGTATGGTAGAGTCCCAGAAGGGAACAAGGGCTCAAAGAGAAAAGGAAAGAATTATGGCTTTGGACAGTAGGTATGCTCTTCACTGCACGCAAATGGAGCCCTTAGCTAGGCATGGTGCTCAAGTCCCAGCACTCAAGGCAGGAGGATCACTTGAGAGTCCAAGGCCAGCCTGAACTACATAGTGAGACCCTCTCTGTTAATGAAGAAAGCTCATAAAGACTACACACAGCATGGGACCCATAAAGTTTTAAAAACACTATCTCATTTTTATAAAGCAAGAGAAGGAAAAACAAAATCTAGAAGATGGCAGGGGTGGGTGGAAAAGGGAGCAGGATCAGGGAGGTCAATAAAAGTTCTTGTCAGTGTTCTTAAAGTAAAATAAACGGGGGGAGGGAGCAGAGTGAGTTTCTTTAAGTGACAACACTAATATATAAGCGAGAACATCTTGTGCGCAGATCAAGACTGCATATGATCCCATGCAACTGGAGCCCACCAAAATTAAAAGAAAAAACTTCACCCCTTTCAAAATCGGTCAGTGGCTCCCTGTGGCATTAAGTCTCACAGGAGGTCTAAGCTATAGGATCTGGCTATTCCCTATCAGAAAGCTGGGAATGGAAGACGGAAGGAAGGAAAGGAAAATCAAGCTGCAGCCCTGAGACTCGAGCCCAGCCCATCAGACAGCTGCAAGCCACTCTGAAATCAGATCCAAGGCAGCTCTTCAAAGGCTCCGATGCCATCACAGCACCTGCGTGTTCAGCTCCCTTGCTGCCTGATGGTTCCAACGGGCGCAGCTGCCAGCCACCGAGGCTCTTCAAATTTTTAAAGTCATCAAGTGACAAACTCAGCTTCTCGGTCGCATTAGTCCTGGGTTAAGTGTGAGAGATAGATGTGGACGGGTCCCACCACCCTGAGAAATCCTGGTGGGCGGCACTACTCTGCTCCCACTTCCCCTGCATCCAGCGAATGTAGGCAGGAGGAGCCAGAGATGTGTGGTGCAAACCCCATGGGGAGCTCTGCTGCATTCCCAAGGCTGTCACAGGTTCAGGCAGGGACCCCAGGGCCCAGGACTGAAGGAGGATCAAGGACCAGCCCTTGAGTGAGATTCCTCAAACCTCACCTGGGAGAGTGGGGACAGGTGTGTGACCATCCGTTACACTCTTCCTTCGCCCACTAGCACCGACCTGTCCTGTCCTCAGGCCTCTTCGGTGAGTTAGCCTGCCTGAGAAATGGCAGCGTCCTGCAGGAGTTTGAGGCATTGTAGCTGCCATTCTTTTGCAGCTCTGGGGTGAGGAGGGGAGAAGGCTAGGGGAGTGGAGGAGAACCCTTAAGAGCAGGTCTTGGGGCAGGTGTCTGTCTTAACCGGCTGCGTGGTGATCACCATCGCCCGGCCCAAGATATTAGCCAGAAGCAAAGACCAGTTTGGATCACAGCAGGAATGGTCCTTAAAGAGGCCGGTCCAGATGAGGAAGCTGCGGCCCAAGGAGGTGCGGTTTAAATATCCAGTGTCCCCCAAAAACTCATGTATGAAGAATCTGATCCCCCAGGGAGCAATGTTCACAGGTGGGGCCTGGAGAAGTAACTGATCACGAGGGTGTTGACTGCATCAGTAAATGGTCTAATTGTAATAATCTATCAGTAAAGGATCGATCCACTGATGAGTTGACAGTTGAACAGGCTGCTAGAAGGTGGGGCCAGTTGGAGGAAGGGAGTCACTGGGGGTGCGCCTTTGAAGGGGATGGGATCTCTCTTCTTCAGCTCTTTCCCTTCCTCTATTTCCCCTGCCTACCATGATGTAAGCAGCTTTCCTCCACCAGGCCTCTCTGCCTTGGAGCCAGCTGACCATGGACTAAAAGTTCTCGAACCGTGAGCCAAAATGGACCTTCCCTTCAAACTGTGTATGTCAGGGTTTTGTCTCAGCAGCAGGAATCGAATACAGAGGGTAAGAAACACAGACAAGTTCACCGAGCCTGAGGGAGGCAGCATGCGAATAGGCTGCCAACTTTGCTGGCTCCCATGATTCCCTTCACAAGACAGTGGCTCCTGTGGAAAGCTCTGGGTTCCTGTAATCCGTGCTGTCATCCTGTCCCACTAACCAGGGATCCTCGCTCCCTGCTCTCCCCAAGGCCCTGCGAGACGCGGGGATTAAAGGTGGAACCCGTTCCCTGGTGGTGAAGAGAGGAAGTGGCTCACAGCAGTGGCAGCTCTTCCAGGGATCCAGCCCGTCTTTCAGCTCTTAGGAGCTGCTGGAACATGGAGTCAACGGCCCAGCAGGAATGGCATCAGGATCCAAGGTTATGTGGGAGGGAGGGGTCAGGGGAAGCCAGCCATGGGGAGGGAAGGAAAGAAGGAAGAGGGGCTTTCACAGGGCTCCCACAGCACCTGGCCCTCCAGCCCTCATGCCATGGCTGGCCAACCCACTCTGGCAGCTGCTTCCTCCAGGGGGCCGTGGGGCCTTGACAGCATGGCCTATGGCTCACTCGGCTTTGTATCCACGGCACAGTACCAGGCATCTGAGAAAGCGCTCTTCTGAACCCAGTGTTAGGGTTCAGATTAAAAGCGTCCCTCAAAGCTTCATGCACTCAGAAGCGGGGTGGTGGGAGGTGATTGGCGCACGGGGTGCTATAGCTGAATTGCTGCTAGGCGGTGCGGCCTGGAAGGGGGCATCTACCTCCCCAGCTCCTCTTCTCTCTGCTACCTGGATCCCATGCGGTGAGCAGCTTTTCCTCTGCGTGCTGTTCTGCCTTGGAGACAGGTGAGCACGGACTAAAATATGAGCCTCGATAAACCTCTCAAGTTGTGAAGAAAGTGACGGGCACGGGAAATGAGAGAGAGCTGAGGGCTGGGAGATCCTAACCAGAGCAGCTTGGACGGGACAGCCCTCAAGAACCTGAGCCTTGTTGTCCTACATAAGCCAAAGCTCTCTGTCCTCATGAGCGCCGGCCATAGCGGGGCACCTCACGGTCATGCCCTCCTGGGGCAGAGGGCAACCCTACGAGACAGGTATTTCTACTGCCCCAAAGCTTAGAAGAAACTGTAAATGTTACCTCTGGGCATACAGAGCTGGAAATTCAAACAGAAGTACTGTACGTCCTACTCCAAAGACTGTACTGTGCCAGGCATGGTTTAGGTGCTGGGGCACAGCTCTCAGCTTACCCTGCCACCTCAGAGCTTTCAGACCAATGCAGGGAGGAGACGGATAATTAAAAAACTGACATGCAACCAAACGATGCCAGGCTGAGAGGAGGGTTATGAAGGAGACTAAGTCAGGTTAAGGAGACGGGCACAGAGCGGGTTAAGTATGTGAGATGCACTTTAGACAGTGACCCAGGGAGGCATCTCACCAAGATGAAATCGGAGCATAGCAGAGAGCCTCGAGCCTTGACAAAGAGAACAGCAAGTTCAAAGGTCCGGCTGTGTGACCGGAGAGGAGGAAAGAGGCAGAGGGGTGGACAGGACGTCATCAGGGACAGCGGGAGCATGGTGACCACAGCCACAGCTAGATGAGGAAGGACGACGCGTGTCCAACTCACCCACGATGTCCACCACATCCCGCCGGATGAGCGGCTCCCCGCCTGTGAGCCGGATCTTGTCAACCCCTTCTCTCACAAAGAGCCGGGCAAGGGTGAGGATCTCCTCGGTGGTCAGCAGGTCAGCCTTGGGGGTCAAGGGGACACCCTCCTCAGGCATGCAGTACTGGCCTGAGAGGAAGCAAGCAAAGCAGATGAGATGGCGGAAAATGGGTACCGCAGGTGGGGAGGCCCAGAGTTTCCCCGAACCCCATCCAGAGGTCAGAGAGAGACCTCAGCGAACCTGGGGGGTGTACACCTGCTCAGCACCTTTCTCATCCCTGCGCGGTTAGCGTCCCTCCTCCCAAATCTGGCCTTAACTTCCCTCCTCGGGAGCCGATGCTGTGGGTCAAAGGTGACGAACTCAGGGGACAGTAGGGCCGTTCCCTCAGCTTAGACACGGCCGGTTCCATTCCTGTAGGCATCACTCCTGCTCCTCGTCACCGAGTTTCAGCTCTCACCGCTCTGGCCAAGCCAGGAGGTAAAGGAAGCCTTTCTGGCCCGGAGAAAGCCGCTCTCCTCTGTAGCCGCAAGTGTCCTAAAACCCTGCCCTCTATACCGCAGGGCATCATCAGTCCTGCCCTTCATTCAGATAACACAGCAATGCGGTTGACAACAGGTAGGGGGGAGACTGCCCTCTATCACTACTTCCGGTTCTGCTTTTGCAAGGGTTGGGTCAAGACCTGCTAGAGTACAAAGTCAAATTGGCACAGTGGGTCTAGAATTGGACCTGGGACAAAACAGGTACAATCAAAATGTGTGATAGGTATTTATTTTTGTGTGATTAAACATTTACCAAATACAAGTTATGTTTACTGACTTGTGAAATACACTTGTTGTAAGGTACGGGAGCAGGGAGAGAGGGAACCAAGAGAAAAAAAGGAAGAGGAGGGAAAGAGGAGCAGGAAGGACCCAACTGTGGAAGCCCACCCTGCAGGGGATACACCCTCAAATGCTCCCCACTCAGGGTTATGTAGCATGGATGTTCCGTCCTAGGACTGGGGCATCCGTGGCTTGCAGTGATTGCTATGGGCACTGCTGTGTGGATCACATGTTTATAAAGTCCACTGCCCCTGCTGGTGGCCACATCCTGGGCTTGGGACTGAAGGGAAACAGGAACCCTGGAGAGTGAGAGGTCTAGGGCATAATCTGAATCCTAAACCCAACGGCAGTTCGGTTCTTAAGTCTAATCTCAAGTAGGACCCAGTGTTCCTAACCCTGAAACTCAACTGGGACTCCTGTAATCCTCCCAGGCAAGGCAGGGCAGAGTGTAAAAGCGGGAGGTGGGACTGGAGGACGGAGGCATGAGCAGCTCTTGCAGCAGAAGGATTGCCACTCACATCTGAGGTTGCACTTCTCAGTGAGTGAGATCCGCAGGTAGTTGTGCTGCCGGCCAAAGCCGTCCACGAGGAAGGCAGAGAAGGGGGCTGCATGCTCGCGCAGGAACTCCCGCCGCCTGGACAGCTCCTGCAAGGACAGGGACAGGAGAAGATGGGGGAGGGCCCCAGGCTCTTTGACATTAGGATAAAGCTTCTCAGGTTCTGGTCAATCTGTAATCCTGGGGAAGCTGGGATTGTCCCTCTCACCGGCTGACTGGGAAACAGGCCCACTTCCCAGGACTCAGCTGAGGGCTGGGACCTCCTAGGGCTTGGCAAGAAACGGAGGGATGGGCCCATGGGAACTTGATTCAGTCTATTCCTCACCCCACCCAGTACTAGCAGGATTAGGCACCCACTGTGTAGGACCGGAGGGGAGGAGATGTGGCCACAGGCTCTGGGAGTTCCCTAAAAATCCGGTTCACTGCGCCTTCTTTGCCTTCTTTTCCACTAGCAGTTACACGCAAGGCAGTCCTCAGTCGATGACCCCAACCTCCACCCCTTCGCTTGCCAAGAGGTCCTTCTCACCCCAACTCGACACAAGGAGGGGAGTGACTGGATAAGAGGAGTAAAATAAGGCCAGGAACTGGGAAAGGGTGAAAGGAGCAAGATAACTCAGCAGAAACAGGAAAGGAATCCTGAGCAAGGAGCAATCTAATTAGGGACTAGTTCTGGACAAGCGGTTCTGGACCTCCCAGCCCCGCCCACCACGCACACCCTTCCAGCTCTGCACGCTCATCGTTTGGACGTTAAGTCCTATCCCTCCCACAAACCCATTTCCTTCCTCTAATGCTGCGTGTCTAACTTTCACTCTGCTTTTGCCCCTTTCGTTTCCCAGCAACGGGGCTGCTGATCTCAGGATCCCAGAGAGCTGGCATCCGTGGAAAGCAGTCTGGGCAGAAGCTGGACCCCTCATAGAGCAAGAGAGAGGGGACCACGGTTGGTACCAGAATTCCAAGACGGGAAGTCCAGTCCTGGGAGACAGAGGAGGATGATAAGATGGTTCTAGGAAAGAAGTTCCACCAAATGAAGGGAAGTTCCTCCCCGCAGCATTTCCCGAACCCCAGGAGCAAAGCATCAACACACTTCCAACTTGGTAGGACACGAAACACTTTGAGGGGCTCTGTCCAGGATGGAGGGATCGCACCCCAAATTCTAGAGAGCGGGACCCCCTAACCCGGGAAAGGCCGGGGTCCTGCTCTGCTCCCCTCTAGAATGAGGCTGAATTCTCCCAAGGGAAACGAAGATGGCTCAAAGAAGTGAAAGTTGGGACACGGTGCCCTGTGACTACGAAGTGAAAACTGTTGGTGGCAAGGAGCTGATGCTTTTGGTTAGTGTCACATGCTGAGGCAGGTGTCACTGGGCCACCACTCACAGGCAGACACCCAGCACTAGGAATTAGGAGCGAAAATGTTTAAGGGTGTGAGCCAGGGCTGAGGGACACTAATAAAGCACTTCCCTAGGCCCAAGGTCCGATCCCTGGTGGTCCCTCCTTGGGGACTCGGGTGACACCTGGAGGTGGGGGGTAGGGGACGTCGCTGGAGGTTCGGGGGGGTCTGAAGGTAGACTGCCAGGGGTCTCTCCTGGGCTAGCAGGTGAGCGCACGCAACGGATCTGGGGGATATCACCCCATTAAGCAGCTGGGTCCCTCCCATAAACTGCCTAAGGGCAGGATGGCCAGGGGCTTCCCGGGTGAGAACAGCCGGCTCAGACCTCGCTCCCAGGACCTCGAGGACGCCCGTGGGCAGGCTCACCTCTGTGGCGGGTCGCGAGGGCTCCGTGGGGCTAGGCTGCGTCACTGGAGCCCCGGAGCTACAGCCCCTGGCGCTAGACCTCAGGAGCCCTAACATCCGGGACATGGGCCGCGCCACCGCCATCAGGCCACAGCTAGGAGGGCCCGGCGGTCCCGACCTCAGCGCGTACTAGCTGGGAACCTGCCGGGTCTTCCCGGCGTGGTGGGGCGGGGGCGGGGCGTACGTAGCCAATCAGCAAGCGCGCCGCGTGGCCTTCTGGGAGCTGTAGTTCCATCGCTCTGCCAGTTTTCTGGCGGGCAGCAGCTGCAGCTCAGAAGTGCCAATTCAGGAAAAGTCCCAAATTTAGGACATGGCGCAACCAGTGCAGAGCGCTGTAGGAGGGGCAGAACTAGGGCCAGGAGAATGAGTACGGCCTGGAGAGTCAAAACTGTTAAGCAATATTTCAATATATTAGCTCAAAAGATTAAAATCCACACCCCCCCAAAATCAAGAAATATCAGAAATTTAAGTGAAAACAAGACCGATCTTGCACTATTCCTGTCACTTCACCCCAATCCAGGTTGTAGGACAGTCAGCTCCCTCTTTTAAGATACAATTGTACCCCCAAGGGCATTAACAGTCCTGGCCTCTCTGATTAAAAACAAAAACAAACAAATAAAAAACCCAGAATGCATGGTATCACTTTTGGAATGCTTCCTGTTTCATTGTACTTCATTTAATACAGCGATCCTAACACGAATGGAATTTTCACTTTGCAATTTAGAAAACAGGTTCAGAGAAGCTAGTTTTCCCAAGACCGCATAGCTGATAGGAATCAAAGCAGAGAGTGTCAAACCCAGAATAATCTGATTCCTACAATGACACAGTCAAGCTCAGAGTTTTGCAGGAGACGAAAGGAATATGCCTTTCTCTGAAAAATAGAACTATAATCTTCAAGATTTTGGATAGTAATACACACTCAGTAATGAACTTATCAAGGATCATTACCCTCAAACCGTTATGCTTATTGTATCCACAACTACTGCCATAAAATTTTGAGAGAGTCAAACAGTGAGCAGAACAGACTCACTGCCACATGTACAGACTAGCTGTATATTTGGAAGTGGGGATATGGCTCCCGATCTTGAAGAATTGACAGATTAGAGGAAGAAGAAAGAGTAATTGCATAAAACTGCCTTTTACAAATGCCATGAGAATATCAGAGAGGTTGGGGGCAATTTTAGCCACCCTAGATTCAGCGTAGTTGCCCAAAGTTCAGACAATACATTGTGGAAGATGAAAGTATACCTGGGTATGTTGGAAACTGCTGGAACAGGTCTGACAGAGTTTATTTGGAAGGGCCCTGAAGACCTAGTGACGACTGCTCCAGTTCAGGGCACTGTTTTCTTTAGCTATGCATGAATTGTCAGGAGAACCAGGTATCAGAGTGAGGAATACGACCACCACTTATTTGCAGGTCTGAGGCCTGAAGAACTTTAAGCAATTGTCTTTGTACTTACGGACCACTTGAATGAGTCAGATGGATGTTTCTTCATGAATCATTTTTGGGGAGTGAGGGTGGAAGACGGAGAGGGAATGGGTGTTGCGATAATAAGAACAGCATAGAAGTAATTATAGCACATTATAACTTTGAGACACACACCTCTGCAGGCAATGTTATCCTCCAAAGGCAAGCCCCACTCTTTGAACCGGTCCAAAACGCTACCAGCTGCACCTGTTGCATGAAAACTGTCTAGATTCTATCCTCTGCATCATTGCAAATTTAGGCACCTCTAGTGCTGGGAAAGTTAGTGTTCCTGATGTTCTACTTAAATGCTTCCCTGCCCGTAAAATCTTATTTGTATTCAATAAAAATGTTCATTATTTTTAACAGTTATTAATTGTCATTAAGGCTAGGTGTCTTGGATACCATGAGAGGCGCAAGGTTGCCTTTAGGGAACCATTTCAAAGATTTGACACCCCATAATTACCCATAATGATCTGGTCCCTGGTCTCTGGTCAGCTGGTAGAGACTTCTCTCTTGTCCTAACTATTCCTTCCTCACCTGTCATCCATCCCTTACCTTCTAAAAAGGGACTCACAATGGTCTTCAGTTGTAATGGCTTGGGATATGAAAATATCATGAAGAGCTCCGATCTGAAGAATCCATGGATATATTTTTGGGGAGTGAATTTCTATAGACCCCTGAAAATAAGTACACAGCTGCATTTTTTTTTTCTGGGGAGAGGTGACTTTTTAAAATTTATTTATTTATTTTGGTACCAGGGATTGAACTTGGGTCCTTGTGCTTGCAAGGCAGGCCACCGAACCACTGAGCCGGCCCTGGAGAGGTGGCTTTTATCACATGCTCATAGAGACCCTTGACTCAACAAAAATGGAGTCTCCTAGTATAGAAATCATCCTTCTGCAGTTACCTTCTGTTGGCCCTACGTTTAATCCCTGGAGCTATCTAGAATGACCTGTCATCTGCAAGCCTTCATGCAAGTGCTCACCTCTTTGTAGTAAACAGCAGCAGTTACTGACAGCCTTTGTGTACAACACTATGTGAGTCACTGCACCGTTGTGGTTCATTTTCCAGAGGTTCCAGGTACTTTTGTCTGCAAGTCCTAATGGTGGGTGGCAGTTTTGCAAGAGGATAATACAATGGCTCCTGCCTTGCCTGTTGTTCTAGAACCTTCTGCAGCAATGGAACCATTCCAAGTCCCCACATGGCTATGGAGAACCTAAAATGCGGTCCCTTAGTCACATAAATCACATGTAAATTTTAAATTTTAATTCCTGTGCATAAAAATCCACTACTGGCTATTGGTTTGCTGTTGTCCTAGAACTTTAAGAGGTGGAATTCATTTTTTCCCCTTGCTTCTGGCTGGGGCTCTAACTTCCTTGTGACCAACATAATAGGGTGACTTCTGAGGCTAGGCCAGAAAATATGATGCAACTTCTCCCTTACAGTTTCTATTGATCTGATTTCTGACTGATCCATTCCTTCCCCCATGCGTTGCATTCTAACCCTCCTAAAAGGATTTCAGGTTGCATAGTTGTTGTTTCTTCCCTAACAGTTGACAGCTACCAACTGCGTGTGGTGCATTACTTGGGAACTCTTATCTTTGCTTTCCAGGTAGAGGGGGCCAATAGTAGTCATCGGCAGGAGGCCAGTGAGCAGGCAGACCAAGAAGCCAATATTTGTTCCTCCTGATCCCTGTTTGGCTCTGGTTCTGACAATGCCAATACCCTTCAACTACAGCTAGTGTCCTATGACCTTTCCTACCATGATTAGGCCAGCAGCACCATCTCTAACCCTCCTTCCTTCAGACTGGAGTGGGTGGGATAGGTTTTCCTCTAGGGATGGTCACTGGATGCCACAGCGTCCTTGTCAGCCCCCTTTTTAGCCTTGCCCACATCTCAGAGTCCCCCCACCTTGGGCAAAATGTCCCTTCACAAGCCCCAGGCAACTATGCCATCTGCCTGGTGATGGCAATCTGATTCAGGATGCAAGGACTTCCTGTTTCCATGCCGCCCACTGCTAACAGTGGCAATAACAGAGCAATATAGTGAATTAATATGTCTTCTGACCCGCCCTCCTCTGAGAGCTGGTGACGAATCTAAATCATCTGTAAAGCTAGCACCTGGCACAAATGTTCAATGCACAGCGATCTCCCAGTAAATGGTCGTTAAATGGTGGATTCTGTATTCTTCCCTTGCCCTTCCAGTTTGGTGGCTGTTCGGATGGGCTAGATTGCACTGTTGTAACGACCACCCTAACATCCCACTAGCTGCAAACTACAGCTGCTTGTTTTCTCATTTGCGCTGCTTGCCCAGCAAAGGGCAGCTGGGGACTGTTTCCTGGCAGTGCTGCCTGGGGTGCCAAGCTGACAGGACAGCTCATGTTTCCTTGGACACCCATGGTTTCTAGGAGGGAAGAGAGCATGGCAAAGAGCAAACTGGCTCTTAGGGTTCTTCCTACGGGCGAATAGCAGAAGTACCTTACCATAGCAGCATTTCCTTGTGTCCTAATGTTTTGTGTAGGTTTCCCACTCGCCTGGACAGCTCTTCAATGTATTCCTTCTTGTCATGCTCATTGCATGCCCCAACCAGTGGTGCCCTCATGTGTCTGGGTCAGTCGTGGTCCCAGAGCCGCAAGGTGCTGGCGTGAACTTCTCTTCCTTGCAGCCTTCATCAGCAAACTTAAGAAGAGCCTCCGCAATGCCTCTAATTCAGCAACTCTCCAACTGGATTTCCAAGGTCAACACTATTTTTGTAATAATGCTGAGACATTATTTGACCTCTTCCCCCATGCTTGCTCTGGCTGTACAAGGGGATTTTTTTTTTTTTCTGCAGGTCACATGGTGGGTCAGCCCTTGAGAACGTGACTGCAAAACCAGAGCTAAGAATCCGAATGCCTTCTGCTACGCCAGGCATTAAAGAAATTTGCCAAAATGAAACACTGTGATATTTTTCTGCCTGGTTCATTTTGAAAAACAGCCACTCTCGTAAATTATGTTGTATGACAAGTATTGATACTTTAAGTGAGTATTTTTTAAATTTCCCAGTATTCATTTCTAATATCACTACAGAGAATATTAAATGTTTCGAGATACCTATTGTATAACATGGTAGCTACAGTAGTAATGTACTATATCATTGAAAATTTGCTAAGTTTCAAGTGTTCTCACAAAAAAGGCATGATAATGGCTATAATTTGCTTCATTTAGCCAGTGCACAAAGCATATGTAATTCAAAACATGGTGTAAATGACAAATGGATTGCATACAGTTTCACCAATTAAGTCAGTTAGAAATTTGATATGAAGTAGATATGACACATAAGCCAGAGCCCTTTGGGATCTTTAGTGGTTTTTAAAAGTGTGGAGGATTCCTGAGATAATTTTGAGAACTACAGCCTTCACGCATATCTCCCTTGTCCTCTACAGGACCCATAGGCAACCTAACAGTTTTTTCTTATTGCCGAGTTTATCATCACCCTCCACCCCACCGGGAGGGAATGCAATACCTATCCCATTCCCTGGGCCCAGGAGTGGCTACCTTCTCTGAGACGGTGGTGGGTTAAGGCTTCAGGGGCCCTCTTGCCAAGCTCAACCAGAGCCCCACATTAGGAACTGGCTTCAAATTTCACATCCAACTTCCACCATTTTCTCTGCCTCTCTCCCTCTAGTGCTAGTTTAACATCCTTGCCAAGAAGAAATTAAAGACGAGTTTCAGTGTGGTTGTG